TTCTAAAACCAAAAGAGGTTTTTGTAGCGTTATGCTACGAGTTTTCAAGATAAAGGCTTGAAACTCTTAAATTATATATAAAATTAAGAGCTGAGCAAGTTTACTTAAGATGTTAAGAGCAGTTATCTTAATAAAATATTGAATTATTAAGGATTTTATACTAGCAAATTTTTAGTTAAGTTTTGTGTAAGTGATTGACAGAAAGAGTTTTTCTAAATTAATTCCACAATAATTCTATTTATTAACTGTGCCTTATACGTGTTATAAGTATCTACAGACGTACTGAGTCCTTGGGAGCAAACATTGTTGAATGAGTTGTTAGACCTGCGAGCGAAGCTTGCAACCTCGTAAGAGAATCTGTTCATAGTATTTAAACTGTTATGGTGTAGTACTTTCGATATAACTTATAGCGTTTTCAATGCAGATCTTCATCAGCTACTAAGCGACGTTTTTCAAACCTGGATAACTATGAAGAAGGTTAGCTGTAGGATATGTGCCTGTGTTTGTAGAATCTTATTGTATCAACTGTTCTAATCTTTACAGAACAACAAACAAACGTAAAGAAAATTCAGAGCTATCCTTCTCTCTCATCTTTTGCCCTCTTTAATACTCTTATTTATCATCATGTTAAGGACAAGCAGTTACTTATTCACCGTCCCCCAGAATGCGTTGAGCCGCCAGTACAAGTTTATCACAATGTTTTCAGTCAGTTCCTGCATGATTACCGAAATGAAGATCTAGAAATGGGGAGAGAGCATTATGAATAGACCCTTGAGTTCATTCATAAAATAGCAAAAATATACCGCAGTGAACACGAGCGTTCTATAGTGTTTAAAGAAACAATTCATAAATTATTTGGTGAGGAATTAAGAGTAATTAGCCTGGAAGATGATTCTTCAAATGGCGTGTTAGAATCTAATGTCTTTTCAAAAAGTGTTTTACGTTTTCTTGTTGAGATGAAAAATGAAATTGGCACCGGTAGCTGTGATCCAACTATCCAGGCTGGAGCTTCTTTTGCAAAATATTATATCCAAGAGACATATGGGGAAGTACTTAAATGGTGCAACTGGCCGTTATTTATCTTATGCTTAGCTGAACCGTGGGTGTGTATTTTAGGGGCAGTATATGTTGAGAAACCCATTGTAGACCCCTTGACAGATTTTATACCTCTTATTCCTACAAACAATCGAGCCCACGCAGAGTGAGTGGCACGACTTTTCAAAGCTTTGGTCTTGGGAGTCAATAGGCTAAAAGAGTATTATGTATCGTTAAATATATCTACAAATCGACAAAATTCACAACGATTTTTTTCCTATCCGAATCAATACAAACAACAGGATACAATCGTGGAATTTATATATAAGAGTAAACTTGTGGATTAGCCCAACAAGCTTCTTTAGAAAGCTATAACAAAAGATGGGCAGAAAATTATTATTAAATTCACATGTCAATATAATCAAAGAGCACACGAACTGTGTAGCAAAATTGGAAAGGCGCCAAAATTACTTTACATTAACAAAGAGGTGGTTGATGGATTTTACATGGTAGTTATAGATTATGTTGAGGCCAAGCAACTTTACAACTGCGACTCACTTAGTCGTGATGAATATAAAGCGGTTTTCAAGGATATCGAAAAAGCTATTGGCAAACTGCATGAGGAAAATATTGTCTTTGCTGACCTCTGTGATTTCAACATTTTGGTTAACAAATCTCAAGACCAGCAGTATCAAGAAATGTTAATAGATTTCGATTGGGCCGGTAGAGAAGAAATTAAGTGCTATTCTTCTTTCATAAACCATAAACATATTAATTGGCCACCAGGGGCTGAGGATAGGAAAAAGCTGAGTCAGGAACACGATATTTATTGGTTAGAGTTATTGAAATCTAATTATTTGGGTATGGAATTCAATTGATTTGTTAGTATAGTATTTGAAGACAAAGAGGAAAAAATAAAAAAAAACCATCATGTATGACAAGCTATGCATATATCAAATATAATTTGTTTTTAATGATTTAATAATAAACAGATCCTCGGTTTAGCATTGTGTTAATCATATTTATACATTTTGGAAATAATGTGTGCTTATCTCTTTGCCTTGGTCTATGAGAATTAAAATATTCATTGCCTGTTCCATTGATTATTGTGTATTTCTGCTGAAAATTTCAGTGATTTCGATTTTATTACTAATTATTGTAGAACTTATTTTATGAGGTCAATAAAATTTACAGTAAGTTTTTAGCAATGTGGTACGTAGCACCTGCTACTTTTATTCTGTATCAATAAAGCCGACCCTGGTGGTGTTACGACCAGATATATATAGTCAACCCTTTATACAATCACCTCCTCTATAATCACATCATATAAAAACCTCTCTTTATATCACATTTTTAGTGATAAACCACGGGGAACGTGGATTGTTGTGTAATGCCATAACCTATAATTAGCTAGGTCATAGGTCAATATTGAGGTATAAAAATAACAGGCACAGTATGGTACGGTTTTTATCAGGTGGTTAGTTTGAATATATTATTGGGATTGTATGCGTATAACATTGGTATTATAATAATACATGATGTAGTATATAGAGTGTAAGTTTGGATTTCTAAAGGTAGAAGTGTGAATGTGAGTGTGCACGGTGTAGAAAAATAAAGAGTAATCGAAATGTCACGAGATGGAGTAGCGGAGTAGTGAAAGTTGGGTAGATCAGATCAAATTTGTTTGGGGTTAGGTTGGTATTAGGTAATAATAGCAGCAATTATATCACAGTAAAATTATCAGTTGAATAGCTATGTTCAATATGCGAGGTATTATTTTATTGGTTGATTGTTTGAATTTCAGTTGTTTTATTAATCTATCAGATGTATACGTATATTATATGGGATGTATATGGTCTTTGGAAATAACATAGTAGATGATTGTTAGTGTGATTGAATAGTAAATTATATTGGTGTAAGGATGATTTATTTGAGTATATTTCATGAAAGAATTTATAAGAATATTAGATATAGTAGTTTGTTATATTTATGATTGATAGTATATATTATTCAGATGTGTAAAAAATCTTTAGTTTTGGTTATTAGTACAAATTAGTTTTTGAAATGTAAGTATTATAGTATATATGTAAGTATATAAACATGATGAAAGTTGGATAATCATAGAAGAATAAAAAAAATATTTAGAGAAAGTTCAGTAAGCTATTGTTATGTATTACTTGGAGTCTTTTTTATTGTTATAGAACAGTTTTATTTTATTAGTTATTATTTTATTTTAGTATTATTTTATTATTTCAATATTTGGGGGAGTCAGTAGAAATGGGACAAATCATTTTTAGTGAATTTTTTTTAATTTTTAAATTACAATTTCTTGACAAC